AGAGATTAGAGGGTTATTGGTACGTTAAGGCTTAACGCTATAGTTTACGTTGGGACTTAGGATTCGGACATGGACACACTTCCTGAAAGTTCGCTCAACGCTACCGGCATTATGGCTGTTTAGCAATGTCAGCAACATTGCATCCGGGAGCATTTCCAGCTCTTCTGACTTTGGCTTCTTATCTGAGCACGTGCGCAACGAGAACAAAGTGGGGGCAGTGCAGGGCGTCTTTTCTGATGAGGACTTTAAGGTAGGATCCGAAACGTGCAATAACGGTTACGGGTGGCTGGTGTCTGAGCCTGCACCTACACGTGCCACCAACGTCCTTACTCCATATGCGGCATTTCTTATGGCGAAGCTACACGAATTAAGCCCGCCCCGCCCCGGCCCCCATGTTGGTTAAACCAATTTACCACGCGGTTCGTTGAGGCCGCAAAACCTGCAAAAAGTACACTCCGTAAACAATGACATCTTGAATAATATCAAAAATTTCCACTGAAGTTTAATGATCCCTTACAGTAAATACTTAGTAGAAGCGTAAGATACGCTTTCTGAAAGTATAAAATGTGAAGAAGACATAATTTAAGTACAAAAAAGAATACTTTTTAAGCACTTTCTACAAAATATATTTAAATATATATTGGCATGGGACGTGAGCACGCTTCCTGAAATGTAGCTCAACGCTACCGGAATTATGGCTGTTTAGGTCTGTCAGCACCATTGCATCCAGGAGCATTTCTAGCCCTCCTGACTGTGGCTTGTCATGGGGGCACTAGCGCGAAGAGAGCAAGGTCGGGGCAGTGCAGGGCGTTTTTTCTGATGATGACTTTAAGGCAGGATCCGAAACGTTAGGCTAACAAACAACGTTTGCATCTTCTCCTTTTGAAGTGCAGGTCTCGTTCGCCAGAAGCAACATCACGTACGGACCACGGTTGCGTCGGCTTCGTGCAACACAACGGTGGGTCTTGCCATTCACTCAATCGAACTGTGCGTTTTGGTCGACCTATGGTAGATTTCCTATCTCATATATATAAGCACTCTCATTTTTCAATGATAAAGGGTTTTTACTTAGTAAAGAGATACAAAAAGTTGGTGATGGCACAGGAATAGGAACCTTCCGTAATACAAGTGGCCAGGGTGATTAGGTGTCGGTGTTCCATTTAGGCTTAAAGCTACGGTTTGGGTTCGGGATTAGGATTCAGACATAAGCATACTTCCTGGAATTTAGATTAATACACTAGGGGCAATTCCAAGCTCCACGACTCTTCAAAAGCTGGACATCGGAGAGATGGCCTCAGGCGGCATACTTTTCGAGTCGACTCGAAAATAAACATTAATATAATGGTAGGCAGGCACTCAGCGATTAGTTACACGATTCGCTCGTACCATCGTGCCTTGGGGCTCCATCTCTCGAGCCCTGCCAGCAGGCCCACAGGGGCTAATGGTACCGGCAGAATGAGTTTACTGAAAAAGACCAGAAGCTCATAAGCCAGAAATGGGCATCCAAGTCTCTCTCTTGTCTTCGTCGGTCAAAATCCTTCTGACAGGAATAACTCCGCCAAAGACAGGGACGAGAGCAGGGCGTAGGAGACACGTACCTTCACTCTGCGTACGGTCAACAGAGGGGTCGTTCAGATCCTTCCAAGTTGCATTCATTGTCCTCGCGTCCGAAATGGTCTCCTCTGAAAGTGAGTCAAAAAAAGAGGAAATGCCAGTGAGGTTGAGCCCAGAGTGCCAGCCGGCCAGTCAGTCACAATCTACGCCACTGCAGAAAAAGGTGTGCAAGCCAAAAACACACGCCTCCTACCCAATTGTCCCGTTAAAATTAGAGTTAGTAACAACAACAGCAGCAGCAATAGAAACAGCAACCACTGCAACCACAAGAGCCAAGGAGAAACTCGGCAAGCGAGT